CGTGATCCGTGTTGTCAAATTCGAGGTAAACTTTTTTGCGGTAAACAGGTAAAATTATTAGGAAAAAAATAGAGTTATGTACTTTTGTCATCGAGGGATGCCCTTAACTACCCCCTGCCGCTCATGATCACCTATCTTAACTTCCTTTGAAGTGACATGTAGCAACATAGCGTTCCGGATATCAGCGTTTGAGCCGGACCGTGTGCATTCTTCAGCATTATAGCTTTATTTTTATGAAGGAAGGATTACTGGCCCGGAGGCCTTTCCAGTTTCACCAGGCAGGTGGGCGAGCAAAGGTTCAGCCAGGAGGGGTGGGATTTGCTAACAGCTGCCCGAGCGCCCCCGAAAGAGACCTAACAGCTCAAAGACAGCTGCTTCGCGAATGCATCCACTACCTATGTTAGAACTGAAGGGGTCTAATACAACAGTTATTGGATCTGACGGATCCGTAAAGACGTAGGGACCTAGGGCTTCGACGGCGACTGGCTCCTGCGTGTGCAGGATTCAGGGAAAAGTCAGCGGCGGCACCGGAAAAAACGCGATTATCATGACGCATGGCCTTATCGAAGTACAGCTCCGACGCTGACTTCAGGTGTTTCCGGGTCGATTCGAGGCCCAGGTCGTCATGTATGTCGACGTTCCGAAGGATATTTTACTTACAAATCACAGGATAAAATCTGCCGAGAATAAGCGCGGCGTAGTCGCGGACATATTTTATGTGCGGGCGGAATGTCATCGATGCATCCTGGGTGACTTCGAGGTACTTGATCTTCCTGGGCCAGGGAAATGATCGGGAGAGTGAGGTTTCTACGCCTAATACGGGAGTTGATACGGGGTGAGTTCCCCCTTTGAAAGAACACCGCTGTGCTTTTAGCTGGGTTGATGTCTATGCACCATTTTCGGAACCACTGTCCGAAGGTTACGGCTGCGCTCTTACTCGCGATTAGATACTTTTTTCTACTCGAGTAGTAAGAGCTCGTGTCCTCAGCAAATAAGGCTAATTGGGTCGGCGGCGACTGACCGGGATGTCGTTAATGAGCAGACTAAAATGGAATAAAGAGAGGACGGAGCCTTGCGGGACTCCAGCCGTGAGAGAGTGCGGAGAGGAGTGGTCTCCCTCGACTCCAAATTATAATTTATGGGTTTGATATTTATTATACGACGTTATTACTTCACAGTGGAAGTCAATCGTGAACATTTGTTAAGTACCTACATATTTCATTGAAAAATTTGGCACCTGCCGGTGGGATTCGAACGCCGGCGCACCGGTGTATCGCTACATACGAATGCACCGGATGTCTTATCCATTAGGCCACGACCACTTCAAGCCGATAACGTCCGCCCACAACGCGGGAAAGATACAGTTCGTCATAGCGGTATTTAAAATAGATACCAACACTACGATGAGTTGGGCGGGCAGAAGTTTAAGAATGCGCTCAGAGTTCCCCTATGAAATCGAATCAGGAATGAGGAGATTTTTAGAAGAACCAAAGCGCAGCGTAAGCCTCCTACGAGGTGGGGCAACCACTTGCTAAAAGTGGCAGAAATCCACTGGATGCAGACTAGGCAAGACCAATTATTGTGGCAAACCTTGGGGGAGGCCAATGCCCAGCAGTGAACGTGCGTGTGCTAAAAACAAAATGCTTGTAAGCCTACTTTACTTAGCAGTCAACACTTCGAAGTTTGAGTACGTACCAGTTTCTTTTTTCAAAGCTCATATTTTTGTATTGCGGTATATTTGACTATCTTTAATACAACCTGAATATGTAGCAGAGTCAATACGCTTACCAAGAAACATGAGGCTGTCTAATTCTCGCTGAAACCAATGCTCATAATTGCTTCGCGGGCGAAAAGGCGGTGGTATCTACACGTGCCAGATCACGAGATAAGAACTCATCTCAATCCTTACATTCACTATATGCACTAAAATAGACTTCCGATTGTATGGCTGTCATCTAAAAACTATATTGTTCCCAAGGATTGACGTAAGCAGCTTCTGCGAATTCATTTTTCATACCATGAGTATCATTGATTGATCTATGCGGGTATTTTCATGGAACGACGTCACGCTAAACTTTACGCCAATTAGATATATCTATTAACATTTAACTAACAATAGAAATTATCAGTGAAAAATAACGTGTAATATCATGGTGTAGGTATTGGATTTGGGTAACGACAAGAAGACCGTCAATAAAATGTGTTTTTGAACTTAAATTTAAATGTAAAAGAACTGGATGGAGGAAAATTCTGGTCGAAAAGGTTCTTAAGAGTAAGTCATATTTATTAAATAGATAGTTATTTTATATCAATGTTACATTATATGTTATACGTTAAGAGCAGCCTGAGATAAAAGTACGATGCATTTAATATTTAAAGATACTACTGTTTTACTCTCGATTGATTCAACAGCTCAGTGCAAGGTAGTGCTTATTACAAAGTACTGTATCTTCCTCTTCAACATTTTTTAATTTTTTTTATTGCTTATATGTTTGGACGAGCTCACAGCCCCCCTGGTGTTAAGTGGTTACTGGAGCTCATAGACATCTACAACGTAAATACCGCCACCCACCTTGAAATATTAGTTCTAAGGTATCTGTATAGTTACAACGGCTGCCTCATCCTTCAAACCGAAACGCATTACTGCTTCACGCAGAAAGAGGCGGAATGGTGGTACCTATCCGCGGACTCATAAGAGGTCCTACCACCAGAGAATAATTCAGTCATTGCTGAAGATTGTCGCTCCTTTTTCAGTTCTCTACCGTCTCTGAGTCGATTTCTGTCCCTAGCCTTATATAGAACTATTTTCAGGAATCTCTGGTTGTCGAAAGTAATGCAATGTGATATTTTTTTACTAGATATATTAGAAGAGTATATGGTATAGAAGCAAACAATTTTTGAAGGGCTTCGATCATGCGCATGCGTAACTTCTTGGATCACAACCACTATTCTTCCTACAGATAAAGTCGCCTTCAACCCTTCTAAATGTCTACAATAAATATTAAATACTATACAATAAATATTAAATACTATATACCATGTACTATATTCTAGATGTTCAACATATTACGTTTTATGGTGTATCAAATAGACAAACGAGGCAAACAGACAAGCAGTTCTATCCAGATACCTGATACCGAATACCTTTTAAATAATATTTGACACTAATTAATTCCAATTTGAAATCGAAACTGAACTACGTGACATAGTCAGTCAAAATCACTAACTAGAAAAAAAAACGATTAGCTATAGCTCACCTGTTAGTATATAATATTTCTTATCAATATAATATGTACGTAGTGCCTTCTTGTTATATTTTAGCAATATATACAGTGATAAAAATGTGTTAGGAAATGCCAAGGATTTGCACAATGTACTGGCCGAACCAGGGGATCTCCGAAAATCGGTAATGCTATTTTCTATATGTAAATAGAAAGTGGCACTATATACGTATATAGTTCATGATAGTAGTACCTAAGCCTCATTCTGGGGAACTTATAAACTGCCAAAATCAAAGAGCCCTGTTCGAATCTATATGAGACAGAACGTTTGCGGGGCAGACACAAAAATGGCCTATGATTTTTTCGCAATGCCAAAATTTAAATTAAAGAAAACTGTACTCTCCTTTCTTAGACTCAAAATAATTATGTGATATAACTGAGTCATCAAGTTAATTATCCGAAACAAGGAAATTAGCGTTTTAATTTCCAGCTTGACTAAGGCCTGGCTAAAAACTTGACTACGATTTCTGTTTTAGACATAGACCTTTTCAGTGGTTTTAGAAGTTTGTTAATTTTAGTATGTATGTAGTTATTTTTTTTAAATATAATTTTCAAGAATATATAAATCATCCACCAAAGAGTCGAAATTGCAAATTCTTATTTTTGTTTTGAGGTAAATTTGATTTTTTGTATTTAACGTTAGCTTGACGATCTTAAACACTAAAATATATCAATTGAAATATAACATCGCTATAATAGGAATTGAAATGAAAGTATAATATCGGTATGTAGAATTTATTAATGTTAATTACTGCAATATAAACCTTTTTGAACTTAAATTACATACATGAAAATTGTTGGAATTTGAATTACAATAGTTAAATTTTCTCTAATGTTTCAAAGGCATATAAAATAAAATTTAAGATTACAAATGAAATTAGCCCGGAAATCGGACGTTTAAAACGTTAATCCAAAATAAGTAACCACACTTTACGAACATTGACTACACATTTATTCGACATGGCCATACATTAAGTGAGAACTGAATAATAGTAGTTCATAATTAGACCTTTTTCCTCGATCAATAAACTTTTAATTACACGGGCGTAGTAGACATCAGAATCGCCATGGTGGAAGAGAGATCTTTGATTGCTGTGTTTGTAGTGACCATGTTCTAATCTAAATAATGTTAGAATATTAAAATCAAAGCTAGAGAGAGGCTCAGATGAAACCCAGAGGTTAATAATTTATGAATTCCTGTGGTAATCTATAATACATAACACAGATCAAAGGTTGTAGTACCTACTGCTGAAATAATAATTTTTGTTTTTAAAAAAAAGATTCTTGCTGTAAATTAGGTTTACATTGGTTCACATTCAAATCCGTTTCATAACTTTTAGATTGTTACTTGAAATTTTATTGTATTTAAATCATTAGTGGTTAGTTATGGTATGTTGTTGTAAAAATATGTATTGAAATGAAATCATGAATTCTATTTTATGAAATAAAAAAACTATTACGGTAATTTCACGGTACAGTGCAGAGGTGAAAAACATTTGAGTTTTATAATAAATTACATTGAAGTGGACCTGAAGTTGATAAAATAAAAAAATATTAATTAATAGTGTCTATTTTTGTATGTGTTATGTAATGCCTCGGTAAAAGAAGGAACGAAAAAAAAAACATTTAAATTATATCAAATAACATTTAAATTATCTTAAAATTGTTATTATATAATGAATGTATTCATTTGTTAACATAAAAATATTTTAAATGAAATTAAATTGAAATAAATGTGTGATGTGAGAAATGACGGTTACTTAATTTTAAATCTTCTATCTTCTAGGAATTGCTGCAACAGAAAAACGAGGAATTTTATTTTACGTAATTATAAAAAATCTCCTTTCTTACAAAAGAAAGAGTGACGTAATGAAAAAAACATTTTACATATAATTTTTTGATGCACTAGTGATTTGTATAGTACCTATGCCCGTCCGGGTTGGTATCACCATCCCGTCCTGTCAATTTCCACACTGCGTTCCGGCTTGGATGGTAAGAGAGTCGCCAATCCAAACGAATTGAGAGCCATTAATTGCCTCAAATTAGGTGATATTTTCGATCTTAGGTGTTTTTTTTTAATTACTTAGATGTGTGGACGAGCTCACAGCCCACCTGGTGTTAAGTGGTTACTGGAGCCCATAGACATCTACAACGTAAATGCGCCAACACCTTGAGATATAGTTCTAAGGTCTCAGTATAGTCACTCAGTTTTTGCAATCCTACTACCGCCCAGACACAGTTGCGCCATGGGCCGTTTGCCTTCCAACTTTATTAAAATGTGCTTACCTCTTAGATTTTTTGGAATCCTCTCCAACTGAAAATAATGTTATCCAAATAAAATAAGAAATATAAGAATATTAAAAAATAAACGAATTTAACCTCATATTAGTTAATGTTTCAGTTTGCAGCGCGATTTGTTTTGGGGCTGTATGATTTTAACATACCTACTTTACCGATTGTGGTTGTAAATTTTTCTGATAATACTTTTTTTTATTGCCCTTTTAGGCAGACGAGCATACGGTTCACCTGATGGTGAGTGGTTACAGTCGCCCACGGATGTCAGCAATGCTATGGGCCGAGCCAAGCCACTGCCTACCGTTAAGTACTCTCCACAAGTCTTGTTTGAAGAAGGACATAGCGCTCGGGAAACACCGTGGAGGGGAGCTCATTCCATAGCCGGATGGTACGTGGCAAAAAATATCTCTGGAAACGCACTGTGGATGAACGCAATGGCTCCAGGTAGTATGAATGAACTTTACTCCGTTGGCGGGCGGCGCGATGATAAAAACGAGATGATGGGATCATTATAAACAATTCCTCAGAGCATAATTATAAAATTGCAAAATAATAATTGTTGCATTTAAGTAGCTGATTGTCAGGAAGTTATTGCCACTTATTGCATATTACTTAAAAGATACAAACTCTTCCAATTTATTCATTAATTATGCGTAAAAAGAAAGTATGTAGTTTTAATTACGATAAATCTAAAGATATTCAACCCTTAAAATTACGACCAAAGTCTAAAAATTTTATTCAAAAATTTTTTGAACTATAAACCAAATTTAGAATTCAAGAAATCCAGCATGTCATCACATCGCTTTTAAGACTTCGCACTCAAAGAAATTTTTGTGAAAAAAAAAAGTAGATATAGTTAATTGTCTAGAATGCTCTATAGACAGCATAAAATCAACTTATACGTACACTTTTTTTCGATCACTTCCCCATTGATGTTTGCAACCATAGTTCCCTTCCCTCCACTGCTGCTCACGTAAACCCCGCTGTAGGTTTGTCCGGGTTGTGGTTTAGTTTTCTTAATGTTGTCAGGAGAGGGGAACGAGAAAGAAAAGTTAGGAATTTTGGGATCGAATGGCGGAATCGTTGGGATCTGTATAGAGGGCCACATCTGCAAAGATAGAGTTGTATAGTGTATGCAAAGACTAACTACTCTGTATGTTATGGTAATAAAATCTGGGCCTCACATCGCTTGGGAATCTGGAACAATATAAAAAAATGTTAATAGTAAGTCAAGGCCTTTTTAAATACTTAAATATCAAATTTTTTTGCTGTGGGTATACGAGCATATGGCCCAAATGATGGTGAGTGGTTACCGTCGCCCGAGGACTTCAGCAATGCCAGGGGCAGAGCCAAGCCCTAAAATACTCTCCACAAGCCTCGTTTGAAAAAGGACATGTCATAGCGTGGAAGCAAATTAAAATTGAATTGAACTTAGTGCAACAAACTTTTGAATTCTCAAGAGTTGAGAAAATTGCTTCCATCAACCATAACTGAATATGGTATAATTTGTGAAATTTATATATTATTATGAAAAATAATTTTACTGCGTCCAGAAAACTTAAATATTTGTTATGTGATTTATAATTTGAGATATTAGTGTCAAAACTCACCCCGGGAAGTTATCGTCCTGCCAAACAAAGCCAGCTAAAATGGAAACATATTGTATTAGATAAATTTAATTAATAATCATCATATAATTTTAACAGGTAACAAGTTTATTGGTATCTGATCTTCAATTATAACAGTTTGTGAGATGACGAATGAGAAGAAATCGAGACACACATTTTTTTCCTACCTATTCGCTGGTAGCCTAAGAGGCTATTTGAGTCGACTATTATCAAAGCCGGCAATCTGACTTTTGGACAATTATTGGTAAATCAAAAAAACGAATTATTGACTTTGTATTCCATTGGCAGTCACAAAACTCTTCGGAACGACATCTTAGATAAATAAGAGGTTAAGTATTAACCTTTATTTAATGCAGGTTTTGAAACGTATTCTTTGAAGGAGACGATTATATTCAAATTAATCTATATTGACATATCAATAACATTTTTTTGTCCAAATGCACAGATTGCCACCTTTGATAATAGACGACTCATTTCATGTTATACATTCCACCTATTGAGCAAAAGAGAAAAATATCTATAATAGTTATAAAATAGATTTCAAATCCTAGTATATACTGTATACTATCAAATACATTTAAGGCATAAGGCGTACAAATGTATGTATGTGGTCTGAAATTCTTTCACTGGCTATTTTTCGCGTACGTCTGTGACGTACCATCCGACTGTGGATGAATTCCGCTCCACGGATTTTCCTGAGTGCTATGTCCATGTGTATTTGGCTCCGTAGCTCATGGCTCAGTTGTGCCTTTAGTATTACTAATATCTATGAATATCGGTGACCACTCATTATCAGGTGGGCCGTATTGAAAGAATAAAAACATGTGTCGTAAGGGTAAAAATACGTTTTGCGGAACTTTTCGACAAATGCTCCTGTGCCTTGATTGAAATTTAAGGACCAGAACGTTGGTCAGCATCAGCCTTTTAGTTGTATCTATTTCCACACTTACCGCCAACCCAGAGGTCGAGCTACGGGGTATATCGATACGTTTTTTGAAACTATCATAAAAAAGGTAAACACCAAAACCGGCTAGGTATTGATTGGGGATGGTCCAAGCAACAAGATTTGATTATTTTTTTTGGTACTCTACATCATACACTTATATATAATTTGGTTTTCATCCTTAAACTAATTTATTTCTACAAAGCCATGTTATCACTATAAAGTAAGTTTATTATGAGAATTGTAGTTATGCTTATAAGACATTTATCGCAGCTGCAAAATTAAAACGTTACCATTTGCCCACAAAAGTACTAATTCAATGTATGCTTGGAGTAAATTGTGCACCAAAAATAACACAATAATAAAAATAATTGAACAAAATGAGGACTCACCGCTCGCGATGGTAATTAATGACAACATAAAAAGAAACTTCGTGAACGCCATTATCACGCGGTTAAAAGGCTTCAACAATAAAAAAATCGAGCTGTGTAGCACTGTTGAAACCAACTGTAGGACACTAAACTCACACACCGCGACTGCTGATTTAAGTATTATTCATAAGTTGTTGTTCGCAACGAAGCAAGCTGTTCAAACAGTGTGACGAATACTTTTCATGCGGGGCACTGAATGTCGTCTGAAAAATAACACCGTAATGAAATATGGAAGTACTAATGTTGTGTTGGAACGATAGTGTGCTCGTTTTTCTAGAAATACATATGCATGAGAACGCTGATGATGTGTAACAATTTTAATATATTCTTAAAGTTATTTGGTGTCCTTAAATTTTTCCGCAGCAGAGAGAATAGCTCTTTTTTTTCTAGAAATTCAGGAACTTAACATTATACATCAAGGGAACATAGCCCTTATTGAGTCGAATAATAATATATGGTTCGTAGCATTTGCAAATTAATTCTACTATGGGCGCTCTTTGTCACTGAGTTTAGTAGGAAGAGTAGGAGCATTTGCGAGAAACAGTTTTGTCACTGTTCTCCGAAGAGGAAATTATTTCCTTACTCTCGCTATGCCAATAGCTCACAGATCGCAAGGGCCATGCTGGCATGTCAAGAACGTGTGAAATTGGCGTGGGCCAGAATTCGGAAGGTGATCCCTTTGGATGAGGGCATTTTGACCTTCAATCCATTTGTTTCATGTCTGGTTTCGAGTTGCGACGTCACAGTATACTATAAACCACTTTTCGCTTGACGAAAGCCAAAGATATAACAATAAGCCATCACACCTTATCTTCCTTGTCCAGAGGCTGTACCTTGACGGGTCGAGCTTTGTGAAATTTGATGAATCACAATCTGAAACATTCCATACAGAGCGAGGGGTTCGTCAGGGATGCATACTTTCTCCGAAGCTGTTTAACCTCTACGGCGAGTAAGTATATTATGAGGAAGGCGCTTGATGGCTGGAACGGCGGCGTTACGGTGGGCGGTACGAAGATCACGAACCTAAGATATGCCGATGATACAACAATCCTTGCAGCCAGCGAGTCCGAGATGGCTGCGATCTTGGAGCGAATAGAGAGAGTGAGCCTTGAATTTGGCCTGCACATAAACCGCTCTAAGACCAAAGTGATGACAGTGGACAGAGCTCAAGTTTTAAGTCCATCAAATGCACTCAAGGATTATGAGAAAGTGGAGGAATTTATATACTTGGGGTCGCTGATCTCTAACAGTGGTAACTGCGAGAAAGAAATCGGACGCCGTATCGGGATGGCTAAAAGTGCCATGACTAGCCTCGATAAAATCTGGAAAGACCGTAATATTCGCCGAGTAACTAAGATGCGTCTGGTTCGTACGTTGGTCTTCTCTATCTTCCTGTACGGGGTGGAGACTTGGTGNCGCCGTATCGGGATGGCTAAAAGTGCCATGACTAGCCTCGATAAAATCTGGAAAGACCGTAATATTCGCCGAGTAACTAAGATGCGTCTGGTTCGTACGTTGGTCTTCTCTATCTTCCTGTACGGGGTGGAGACTTGGTGTCTCAGGAAAAAGGAACGCAAAAAGATTGAGGCGTTTGAAATGTATTGCTGGAGAAAGCCGCTACGCATTCCTTGGACAGCTATGAGAACCAATGTCTCCATCCTCGAAGAGCTGAAGGTCACCAAGCACCTGCTGACTATGTGCCAGGAAAGGATCCGGAGTTTCTTTGGGCACATAATGCGATCCTCATTGCACAGCCTAGAGAAACTCACAACTCTCGGACAAATGGAGGGGAAGCGCGCTAGAGGAAGAGCGCCAGCTAGATGGGTTGACCAACTCAAGGAGGTGACTGGAGGCCAGATATGGGGAGCGGTACATATGGCGCAGAACCGGACCGAGTGGAGAAGATTGACATACAGTCACGATCCTCAGCATTGAGGGAACGACCAGAAAGAAGACACATATACATAGAGGTCATCAGCGGCGTGACGAATCGCAAATCACCGCCACACGCTTGTTATTTGATTTGCGAAAGATGGTAATGTTTTCTGATAGTATGTTTAATGTTTGACACGATCTGCACTCTAAAGCTTTTCACTGAGCTTCACATAGAAGTTGTGACTAGATTAGCCTCAGATATGGGAGTGACTTGCGGTATATAATGAATATTATTCCGATATGGCGTCTGTATTTGGACGTGACAACGTCTTATAATTCGATGGAACCGGCTGCACGCACGAAAAAACCAGACTCATGCGGCGTTACCTCGCTCTGAGGCGTTTCATTTAAGGCTTGAAGTGCAAGCAAGAGCGCGCAACGAGCGATAAAGAGGCACAATCGGCCTCCGCGTTCGGCAGCGTTCGACATCTGTCTCTCTCCTACTTCAGTGAGCGATGCATCCGCGTGGACAGCTGCTTGCTATACAATAATACATTTACATGTTTTCGTCAAGTATGAAGTTCAGTGAAAAGTGAATGTGGTGTCAATTGTCCATACAAAATATCTATCAAACAAATAAAATAATTTTTTTCTTTTGAAAAATGAAACCATTCCATCAGTATTTTCTTATGACGTTGTCACGTTCAACTATCGTCAGTAAACCGACTTTACAGACAACCAATTTTTTTGTTTTTTATGACATAACAAATTTCTAATTCTTTGGCATGCCTGAGCTTAAGCCGTACTTTTAAACAGTATTTTTACGGTGAACTCCAATTGTCTCCCGTGACCGAACGACCATTGTCTCGGGTTTTATTTTTCAAATAGTGGAACCCTAGTTGCAACTATCAATCAAAACTAATTCAAAAGCGAAGTCCACGTTGTTTTATTCTCATTTTTTGAACGCTAACTATGTGGTTACGAATCATGGTTACTTAAACTTTATCGATCGGACTATTAATAAGCGTTTTAACTCTATAAAACGTATATATAATGTTTTGACAGTGTTTTTATAACGAGCTTTTAAGCTTTTTAATTTTTTTATTGTTTAGGTGGGTGGACGACCTCACAGCCCACCTGGTGTTAAGTGTTTACCGGAGCCCATAGACATCTACAACGTTAATGCCACCACGTACCTTGAGATATAAGTTCTAAGGTCTCAAGTATAGTTACAACGGCTGCCCCACCCTTCAAACCGAAACGCATAACTGCTTCATGACAGAAATAGGCGGGACTACCCGTGCGGACTCACAAGAAAGAGGTCCTACCACCAGTAATTACGCAAATTATAACTTTGCGGGTTTGATTTTTATTACACGATGTTATTCCTTCACCGTAGAAGTCAATCGTGAACATTTGTTAAGTACGTATTTCATTAGAAAAATTAGGACCCGCATGCGGGATTCGAACACAGTTGCATCGCAAGATACGAATGCATGCGTCCTATCCTTTAGGCCGCGAGGACTTGAAATGAAGGTTAAGTTTTAGTCCTCAGGAAACACCGTACAGGGAATTTCATCCTAAGCCTTGATGGTACGTAACAAAAATAATAATTAAAACTACTGAAGCGTAGTAGTATAGTATATTAAAAAGGAGTTGGAGAGATAATCTTCAATAATTCTTCTGAAAATTTCTCATTTTCGATAGGCGTAAATGGCAATTTTTTTTAATAGGAGTTTATGCCTTCAATAAGCTTTTAATTATGAATAAGATACTACGTTACTACGTTTCTAAACTATAAAATATGGCTTAATGACACAATAAGTTAAAAAACTTCGCTACGGATCATAAAATAAAATAAAATTGACGGTTTGTAGAATTTTAATTTAATAATATTTAATTTAATTTTAATAGTAAAAACTACGCAGATAACATTTCTTGAATTCCTTAGCTAATTTACTAACACGGCTCAAAGGTCGTAAGTACTGCTGAAATAATGATGTCCGTTTTGAAAAAAGACAATTAATGACTTCATTTATCTTTAATTTTCTTCACATCTAAAACTTGTGAATGAAAAAAAATTTATATTTTCGCACAAACAGTCACAAAATAACACAAATTTGAACAAAAAAAGAACTATTACGTAAATTTGACTATACAATGCAGAGATGAAAAACATTAACGTTTTATTTTTAACAATTTAAAATCCCCTTTTGTGAAATAATATTTTTGACTTAAATTTTTTTATTCGTGAATAATCGCTGGATTTATTTAATCGCCATCTTTGTATTCCATGACCTTTTCTTCGACGGCTTTTCCGTCATTTGTCAACTCGCTAACTCCGCCGCTGCTCACTGTCTTGCCGTTGACCGTGGATGAGGAACTGTAACTCGACTTAGACTCTCCGGTATATTGCTCGTTATCTCCCGCGACGTGAGTTTTAATATCATCAAATTCAAGAGACTTTATCTCTGGTATCTCTGGCATCTTGAACTGTAGAAAAAAATATATACTTTAATATTCACAAAACGTAATTAAATTTTATTAATTACTATTATAATTAATGTTTCGTAATGACTTTATAAAATAAACTTTAATAGAAGCGTAGCTGCAGCAGTAGAAATGTCAGTGTGTTAAACATAACAAGTAAGGTTAAAAAAATTATGAATTTACTAATTCATCTAATTTACTTAATTTAATATAATATATTATTACCAAAATGTCTTAGAAAAAGTCGTGACATAATAAGTAATCCGATACTTTAATGTATATTAAACAGTTTGGATATTACAAGCCGTTCTGACTTTGCAATGATAATTTAATCACTATGTATTATTATTATTATTTTTATTTTTTTTTTATTGCTTAGATGTGTGGACGAACTCACAGCCCACCTGATGTTAAGTAGTTACTGGAGCCCATAGACATCTATAACGTAAATGCGCCACACACCTTGACATATAGTTCTAGGGTCTCAGTATAGTCACAACGGCTTCCCCACCCTTCAAACCGAAACGCATTACTGCTTCACGGCAGAAATAGGCGGGGCGGTGGTACCTACCCGTGCGGACTCACAAGAGGTCCTACCACCAGTAATTACGCAAATTATAATTTTGCGGGTTTGATTTTTATTGCACGATGTTATTCCTTCACCGTGGAAGTCATTCGTGAACATTTGTTGAGTACGTATTTCATTAGAAAAATTGGTACCCGCCAGCGGGATTCAAACACCGGTGCATCGCTCGATACGAATGCACCGGACGTCTTATCCTTTAGGCCACGACGACTTTCAAAAATTTTTATTTTATTTTAATATTATTTTTTTTGTTTTGTTTTAAGTTCATTGTTAGTGTTGATTGCATTTGATATTACAATAATATAATATATTATTTACTTTATATTACGTATTTTACAACATAGTTCGTATTTATTTAACATTTCAATTACCTTAATTACCTTAAAGTTTTATGATTAATTTATTCCATTGATTTCAATTGATATTAATATAAAACAATATGAAATTGAAATGTGTGTGGATGTGTGCGCTGTGGGATAAAAATTGTTACTTAAATCTAAATCTTTTGTCTGGTACGCTACCACTGGAGTAGAGGAGAGGAAAACGATTGCTGCAATAATAATGATTGCTGCAATACATGGAATTTAATCAATAAACTACTATTACATGCTATTAATATTATATATAAATTAAGTAATTGATTCGTGATTTATGTTTTATTTAATTTATTTATTTATTGTATTTATGACTTAGTAGTGCAGTGGTTAGCGCCCCTAACTGTTGCGCCGAGGGTCATGGGTTAGATTTCCACACCGGGCAAACATTCGTGTGATGAACCTGGTTGTTTTTTTTTTGTTTTTTTATCTATACTATACTATAATTTACTTATATATAATACTATACTATACTTTTATACGTTTCATAATATGAAGTATGTTTATACTTTATGTGTCTCTAGTATCTATAAAACGGGGAATCCTAATTTGAGACTGGGTGATCGTTGGTGATCGTGTTCCCAGTTGTCTGTTTTAAAAAAATCCGACCGGGTTTGTATCACCACTCTGCCAAGTCCATTTCTGTCGTAAAGCAATTACTACGTTCCGGTACAAATGGTCATTATTCCAAAGGAATTAAGAGCCTTTTTCTTTGTGGGCAATGACACGTCTATGCGCTCCGATAACCGCTTAACACTAGATGGACCTTGATCTCAAACAGAAAACTTTTATTTAAATACACCTAGCTACCTTTTACATTAGTCAGATTTACGTCCAACTGAAAGTAACAGAATCCAAAGAAAATGAGAAAACGTTTACAAATTGTTATTCAATCGTATTTAAAAAGTTGCGTTCAGTTTAAAAGATTTTGACTCCAACATTTACTGAAGACCAACAAATGACTAGAATTCAAGGAATCTAATGTAATCGAAATGAAGCAACAAAAAGTAGATATCTAAATATATAGAATGCTCGGTCAGCAGAATATTATCGACTTATAAAAAATATATATCCTGATATTAGTCATTGTTTCAGTTTGCAGCGCGATTTACTCTGTGGCTGGAACCTTTTAAGGCACTTTATCGATCGTGGTTATAAAATTTTCTTATAATAATCATAACATTGAATTAGCTGATTATCAGGGAGCTAATGGATATTACTTAAAAGATGCAAACTCTTCCCATTTATTCATTAATTATGCAAAAAAGGAAGTATGTAGTTTTAATTACGAGAAATCTAAAGATATTCAAACCTTAAAATTACGTCCAAAGCCTTAAAATTTTAGGTCCAAAATTTGTTGAAACCTAAATCTAATTTAGAGTTCAAGAAATCCAGCATGCTACTCACATCATTATAACGACTTCGCACTCCTAAAAATAATTTCGGGATGAAGCAACAAAAAATAGATAAACTAGATTAAGATAGATAGTCTAGAATGTTCTATAAATTGAAGAGTACGTATTAGTTGGTACTTATACGTACTTTTTATCGAAAACTTCCCCATTGATGTTTGCAACCAAACTTCCCTTTTCTTCACTGATGTCCACCTAGATGCCGCTAAACGATGCCGCTAAACGATTGCCCAGAGAGTGGTCTAAAGTTTTTAATGTTTTTAGGATATGGGAATGGGAGACCAACGAAAGAAAACACAGAATCGAATAGCAAAACCTTTGGGATCTGTGGAAGAAGGGGTACATCAGCAAAGACAGTGTGTTGTGTTTATAAATTGGGTCTTACCGCATCTGAAAATCTGGAACAATATAAAAATATTATTAGTAATGAAGCTAATATATTTCAAATATATAGCAAATATATTTCAAAAAAACTGGACTCAGTGGAAGAAACTTTTCATTTTCAAAAATGATGCTAAGAATGATGATGAGCTATCAAAAATATATTTTTTAATAGATTTCTTTAAAAAAAAAAACAATTTTACTATCTAGTAGATCCAGAGAAATTAAATTTCAAATTTGCACTATTTAATTTAATAAGTTAATGTCAAAACTCACCCCGGGAACAAATCGTCATCGTCCTCCCATACAAAGCCAGCTAGAAATGTAAATTTATTGTATTAGATTTAAAAAATCTGCTAATAGTCAATGAGTTCACGACGGATCAAATATAAAGCGGTTATTAGAGCCCATAGAAAACACACCATGAAATGTACTTGAGCATAATAAACGTGTGATTAAGCAGTAAAAGTATTTTTAAATAAATGTAGAATAGGGATCGCAGCGCATAAAATAAAACTTCTACTGTTCCAAAACCTTCTGTTATGTTAATAATTTAAAAATTAATTAACACTTTTATTACGCCTTGCTCATTTTTAATCGTCTACGCCATCTTCCTTTTCTCTGTCATTGTCTGTCATTCTCTTCTCCTCTCTCATTTCCCCTTTTTCTTTTCATACGTTCCGTTCTTACCAATCCTACATAAATATACGAATAAATATATCGTACGGAGCGGCTTGGTTCTGCCCCTGGCATTGCTGAAGTCCATGGGCGACGGTAACCATTCACCATCAGGTAGGCCGATTGCTCGTTTGCCTACAAGGGCCATAAAAGTATATATACATTGTATATATACGACATGTGTATTTGCGTATCGTATGCTTCAATTTGAATGTCATTTTACATAATTATTGACTTTATTATAAATTGACAGGTCAACTTTATTTATATACATAATAATATGTATTTCGAAATAAAATTATGTTATGTAACTTTCGCGTTTAACGTTTTCGCAATTCGTAGACACAGCTAAAACTATTTATAACTAGCCGTTAATTAGCACAATAAACAAAAGTCGACATATACCAACGTTTAGTTTAATTTAAGATCACTATCACATTATTTCTAATGTTTCTGAGGTAGAATTATATCAAATGTTCTATCTTGATTTTAAATGCATTTTCAGTTTACAGTCAAGTGAGTTACAAAGTTATAATTTTCGCCAAGACTACACTATAGAAAAATAGTAATAAAACCAAACAATATTTATTCTATTCTCAATTTGACCACAGACGTCAAGAACAAAAGTTTGACAATAAATAGTATGCATGCGTGTGTGCGTCAAATACATGGTATGTAGTGTGTGTAATGTTTTCTTTATTGATTTAATGTATCTTTTATGCATTATTTAAAAAAATATTAGCTTTGTGCACTTCTTCTCTATATTCTCTATAAGTGTAGAAAATTTCATACTCCTCCGTCCGCGCAATTTTCGTAAAAAGTGATACAAAGTTTTTGCTTCACGTATTAATGTATAGATATGAATAAGTGAAGTGAACGTGACTTATCAAACAAACCTAATCACAGGTCATAAATACAAAGTGTATGTAAGATACGTCAATGCTAAATGATATGCGAGTGTTTCGTTTTATTACTGTAAGCAACAATCCTAACACAATTTTGCCTATATATATGTGAACCGTTTTCAAATGTGGGACAGTTGTTATACATGAGAAGTAAGACTTTGAACACATCTCTCATTTTGACGCTATTTTCCTTGCTATTTCTATGAACGTAAATAATCACTTAAATTCAGGTCTCCCGTCAACTGTTACTCATTTATTCAATAATAAGTAAAATATAATATAAAAAATATTTTATATACGATTTGGTTACGAATAAACCCAAATTTAATTTTTAAAATTTATTCTGACGTGTATTGTTAAAATTAGTAGTTAGTAATAAGCAGTTGAATATCATTGTTCGCGACGGACATAAATAAATGCAGCTTAATAGATATTGTTCGCGACGGACATTGATAGTTTAAAAATAGAGTGTAAACATAGTAAATATAAATGTCCGTAATAAATAGATATAGTTAAACATGAAAATAAGTAATTTGTTATATTTTGTTTGTAAATAAAGATTGGTCCTCGTGGTCTTTAATTTGGCGTGGGAACGCAGGAGCGAGTCACAATACGGGCGAGCACTAATAGAGCGACTAGGCAAACAATAGGCGAGCGAGGCGGCCGAGAGAACAATAGACGCCCACCGTGCTCGGACTCATAATAGCGCTGGCCGAGTGCGTGTGGGCGACCATAAATAAGGGGCCTACCTCGCTGCAAATTCACCTGCCGGCTTCGCTGCCTGGCTCCTCTCCCTGTGGGAGAAACTGTCCGAGGTGATCTCCGGAGTGATCCGAGAGATCGCCTCGGGAGCCAGTCCCTTCGGGGCCTTGCTCGCGGGGTTCTACCGGATGATTGCGCAGCTCAATGGCTAGCCAGGAGCTGCGCATCATCTACTGGAACCCCGACGGGATAGGGTCCCGGAGGTCGGAGCTCATCCGACTCGCCCAGGAGTATGACCCGCAGGTTATCCTCCTGGGCGAGACCAAGCTCAAACCTCGACAAGATTTTAGGATGCCCAACTACTTCGTGTACCGACGGGACGAACTGACCTCCAGCGGGCGCCCGTTCAGGGGCACTGCGGCGCTCGTCAGGAGGGACGTGGTGCACGAGGAGCTTGAGCTACTGACCTTCGCCTCTACCAGAACGGTCGGGGTGAGGGTCCACGTACCGGGGGCCGAATTGCGGATTTATGCCGCGTATCGACCCCCGGGTCCTGATTTTGTCGAGGACGATATTAGACGGGCCTTGAACCATGATCGCCATCCGGCCTTGGTGGTCGGGGACCTCAATGCGAAACATGTCGCTTGGGGCTCCCGAATCATCACGCCGCCCGGAAGGCGATTGTACGAGGATGCCGAAAGGGGGGACTACTGCGTGGTCGGCCCCAACGAACCCACACACGTTCCAACGTTGGCCCGGTACCAACCGGACGTATTGGACGTGTGTGTTCACAAGGGGCTACAGTGCCCTCTAGCGATAGAGGCACTGTACGACCTGAG